CTCTACAGTAAGTCTATTTTTATTTCATATTTAGCAGTAGTAAAAAGTGTACTAAGAGTAGATGGCACCAAGGAGCTGCCATTTTTCACACCTACAACCAGCATTCTTGTTTCCTCTTGCAAATGTCACAGTAAAAGAGCCAAAACTCCAAAGTTCTGTTTTCCCAAAGTCACTTAAAAATTATGTCTTGAGTGCTTCTGAGTTGTGACAGACCACCCCCACTTCTATCTACACCCCAACAGTCTGAAAATGGGACTGCCAGATGATGGATAAGGAATGGGTATCCGTTCTGAACGAGGAATGGGGGGCTTAAATGTACTGCTACTAAAGTTAATACAATTGATACATCATGCAGGGTGAGCTCTTTTCAGAGAGTTCTCACTATTCCAGGGAATGGTCCTGCTTGGTTGGGCTCTGAAGGTAGTCAGAGTTCACGCCCTAACAGGAGGCCAAATGGGGTTGCCAGCCTTTAGAAAACTCGGTGCCTGAGTGGGGAGTGAGGGGAAGTTAAGAAATGACCAGCAGCTGGGCAGGGCAGGACAGCCCATGGGAGGGGGCACCTCTCTGCTTCCACCTGCAAGCTGAGGTCATGGATGCTCGGAAACCAGCTTCTGGTCCAGCGCTTGGAAGCTTAAAGGCTCACCTGGTTCAGACAGTGGTGGGTTCAGTATCAAACTGTCTTGACTGCTGGTGCCTATTTCCTGTTGCTGTGCTCCCACCTCACAGAAAAACATATCCCCACTTGACCTTTTCATTTCATCTTATCTTGTTTTCTTCAGGGCGTGTTCCCTTTTTGCCTTATTTACTATCTGTGGTCAATGTTTCCTTCTTCCTCAGCAGCTTTAGTCCATACCTGTCTCATTTCTCTGTATCCATTCCTGTTTCCCTCTCAGTTACTCATCTCCTCCCCCAAATTCTTTTTCCAGTCATGGCAAACTTCTAGAAAAAGGAGTCTGCACTTCGTAAATCCTTCACAGTCTCACCTCAGGCTAATACAAAATGATTTCAAACCCTGTGCTTTAAGACAGTACCTACACCGTGTTCACAAAGATCACTCACACGCTCCTAATTGCTACAGCTGATGACTTCCCAGTAGTCTGTCTTGATTACCCCTTTCCCCTTAAAACACTCCCCCTTCCAAGTCTTTTCACTTTCCTCTCCACATCTGGCCACTCTTTCTCCATCTCTTCCCCTCATACCGTCAACGCGGAGGATCCCACGATTCTGTCAGCATTTCTCTCCTCACTCCAGTATGCATTCTTTCTCCTTGCTTCAGCTACAGCTTGTGTGCCAGTGATTCCCAGACTTGTATAACACTGACCCTGACCTCTTGCTTCTGAACTAAAGGAGGTACTTCTACCTCTTTCTTTTGGGTATCTTATGAGACCCCCAAATTCAACAGTCAGAGCTAGGCTCTCCTCACACTCAGTCAAACGTGGTGCCTCCCTTTTCCTCATCACATGGTCATCAAGTTCTGGTGATTGTAATTCCAAATGTCTTTCTGATGCACCCCTCCGTGAGCTACTTCCATTACCTCTACTCTCGCCTAGGCCCTCAAACTGCTTTAACGGGACAAGAAGATGGTTAATAGAAGGAGCTTTGGGAATCAGACTAGCTGGATTCTGGGTTTTTTTCACTTAAAGACTTCAGATGGAGTCTTTAAGACTCAGTTTTCTCACTTGTCAAGTGGGGCCAGAATTTAGAACTATTATAAGAAATTTGGTGATCTAACCAAAATGTTATTCACAATGGTTGGCCCATGGTAGCCACTCAAAAATGTTATGTTTTGCACTCAGTACTCTCCTTATTTCCTCCCATCTCTGAGCTGGAGCTCCTGCCTTTAGCCCATCTCTCCTCTCCAGTACACATTCAACTCTCACACCAATTACTTTCTAAATCAGAGATCTATTCATGTCAGTCTTTCGTTCAAAAAAAAAAAAAAAAACTTTTCACAAGTTTTCATTGCCCATATGACAAAGACCATCTCCTTAGTTTGGCATTTTTGACCCTTTAGAAATCTAACCCCAAGCTACCTTTCCAGCTTACAGATTCATCACTCCTTATTATATAACCTATTACCTAATGTACCTTACATTGTCAAGCTTTGTTTCTTTATCGCAGCCACCCCATCTTCAAGGTCTTCCTCCCTTTCATTTCTAGCTGATGAAGTCATACTTATATTTGCATAAGCATCTGTTTCCCCCAATAAAGTCTAATTCCTTGGAAGCAAAGAACCTGCCTTATTATTCTGACACATTGCATTCATTGATACATTCATTCACCAAACATTTTTAAACTGAGAACCAGGCACTGTGTGAAGTGCTAGGGATCCAAAGCCAAAGAAGATATAGTCCACACCATTAACCAGTAGACAGTCTGGTTGGGAAGATGGGCATACAAACAATTCCAGTAGAGGGTGACAGGTGAGAGGATAGAGCAGTGGCTCTCGATCCTGGTCGTATATTAGAATCCCTGGAATCAATTTTTTAATCAATTTAAAGGAATGCTAATGCCTAGGTTCAACCACCCAAAATTCTAATTTAATTGGTCTGTGATGCGTTTTTTTAAAAGCTCTTCTGGTATAGTTACGATAGTGAGGGTTGCAAACCTCTGAGAAAGAGCTCTATACACAACATGGGAGATACACCTTATAGCTGGCACTTTTGGTTGTTCCACAAATTCTGCCCCCTTCTGTACAACCTTCCTCCACATGATTTAGGAGACACTGCCTTATCCCCATCTCAGAGGTAGATTCTAATTGCTCTTTCTTGTGATTGGTTTAGGTGTAGGCAAGGACACCTGAGGGGAGGCTGGCTGTGGGAAGTTGGGAAAAGGTTTCCTAATCTGAAGAAAAATATACCAGGAGAGATAGGCTTCTTTCTGCCTTTGGACACTGCCGTGCCTGGCTGTGACATCTGGAACCACAGCAACCACACTGTATCCATGAGGGGAGCCACCGGGAGGTAAAACTGAGATCTAGAAAGGAGCGGCATTCTTGATGACGCCGTCAAGTCATTGTATCAAACTACCCTACTATTGGTCCACCTGTGCATTTTTGGATGTGTGAAATAATAAATTTCCTAACTGTTTATGCTATTTTGAGTCAGTTTTCTGTTGACCTGAAGCAGATGGTATCCTAACTGATATACAAATAAACCAAACTTGAAGATCAAGGAAAGCAGTCCAGAGAAGGTGATAATCAGAGGGGAGTCTTCAGCAAGGCAGTCAAGAAGCAGGAGAAACAAATAAATAGGCATGGATATAAAAGCATAAGATATTCATAGAACTTCCTATAGTTCAGAATGGCTACTGCAAATAATACAAGTATGGAGATGAAGCTGGAGAGGAGGGAGTCTGGGGCAAGAACTTGAGGAGGCCTGTATGCTGTGAACTAGATTAAATATGGCCACAAAACCGTTGCCACTTCTTCTATCAAGAAGCGGAGTCTGGGCTTCCCTGGTGGCACAGTGGTTGAGAGTCCGCCTGCCAATGCAGGGGACACGGGTTCGTGCCCCGGTCCGGGAAGATCCCACGTGCCGCGGAGCGGCTGGGCCCGTGAGCCATGGCCGCTGAGCCTGCGCGTCCGGAGCCTGTGCTCCGCAACGGGAGAGGCCGCAGCAGTGAGAGGCCCGCGTACCGCAAAGTCTATTTCAATACCCCATGAATCTGGCTGGCTTCATGACTTGCTTCGACCAATAGAACATGTCAAGAGGGATGTGACGTGAGTTCCAGAGCCAAGGCCTGGCTCTCTTTAAACGCTGTCCTGAGGCTGCCATATTGGAAGGAAGGCAATCTAGCCTGCTGGCAGATGAGAGGCCAGGTGGAGAACGGAGATGCCTCAGCTGAGCCAGCACCAAGTGCTGGGCATGTGCGGGAGGGTCCATGCCCTCGTGGACCACGCAGCTAGTCCAGCCATCATGTGAAGAACCAGCAGATGAACTTCCCAGCCAACCCACAGGATCTAAGAAATAATAAATCACCATCGCAGTAGGCCACTAGATTTGGGGTGGCTTGTTACACAACAACAGATACATACATAGGCCATGCCAAGATGTTTGGACTTTACTCTGAAAACTATGAGGAGTAACCTGATCAGACTCATGTTTTAGAAAGATCGCCTTGGTAGCAACGTGGAGAATGTCTTGGAGGGGGGTGCAGGGCAGAGGTAGAAGGATTGGTTAGAAGACTATTGTGTTAATAGGGCTGAGAAATAATATGAATCTGAACTAAAACAGTGGCAGAGGGAAGGCAGAGAAGAGTTAATATAGGGGTAAAACCAACAGGATGGTGAATACAGGTTATAGAGTGTAAAGGAGAAAATGAGTTAAGAATTACTCAAAGTTTCTGGACTCTGCAAACGAGGGGACGATAGTGCCATTCACTAAGAGAGGGAACTATGGGAGGAAGAGAAAGTCTGACCTACCTTTGGAACTCCCAAGTGGAGATGTACAGCAAGGAGTTGAGAATACTCAATACACAATAAATGTTTGATGAGCAAATTACTATGGTTAATCTGGTTGGGAACTGAAGAATTCATTGCTATATGGCATAACTTGAGTTCTCTCCAAGACAAGTGAAGTTATAATGGTGTGAACTCATTTTATGGGTACTTGGTCAGAACAGAAAGGAAAAAGAAAGATAAGATTTGATGTAGCCCAAAATGCTGATAAATCTGCACATTGTTCAGTTTGTGTGCATTAATCTATAATTCTCAGGGAACATTCCTAGTATACAATGTTCTTACCTAAAGGCACTTTTCTTAGTGTACGCAGAGGGAAAACTCTATGATACAGGTTCTCTCTTTTTTTTGGCTGGCAGATTCTTTACATGCCACCCAACCTGTAGAATAAGAAAGGGCTTCCCTAGCTACATGCTAGAAAGAGTTGAGACTATCTCCACGTTGTATATTTTGCCAAATGAGCCCACTCTATGATTTACTAATATAATAAACTACAGAGGCTACAAACAACTTTAATATGCACATGTAAATATTGGCTTACCTTTGAAATTGATTAAAATAGCAAGTAAATGGCTGGGAACCAATCTCATCTTTCCAGTACTGTTGCCAATTCATGACACTTTCCAAGTTCTTCTGATTTTCTCTCTTACAGGGAGGGATATAGGAGCACTAACAAAACAGAACACAGAAAGTAAACCTATTATTCTATAGAATATTGAAATATAGTCCTTTTTAATAGACAGATGGCATTATGCTGATGGTAAATCTAATTCTGACCTACTTAATTGTTAATTTAACCAAATTGAAATTCCGAAACTATATTTCAAGTTTTGAATTTGGCGCAATTACAGAAAGTATTCCGATAACAAAAGTACAGCCAAAAATAACTTTCAGTCATTACAGTATAAAGATACTTTATAAACAGTTAGTTACAATTTATTAGTGAATTTAAAGCATAATATACTCTGTCTTTGAGGGCCTGCCAATCAACAAAGGGAGGTAACACAAAACTTAATTTTTATCCCCAATCTCTAATAGACCTTGATATTTTCTTCTTCCACTTTTAACTAACAAATCAAGCACATAGCTCTCCACAGATACTACTCTCAACTGCTGAAACTCCAGTTTTCTTTTCTTACATTTTCTTGGACAACAAAATCAACAGAAAATTTCCTCTCAAGTATAGGATCAATGCATTTTGCTAACTGATGCCCTTTTTCTAGCCATGCCTCTGACAAAGTAGTTCTCTCGGAAGGGACTTTATCACTCTAAGCAATATAGACTCAGCAGAATTAGAAAACTGCTCTTAACCTTAGGTGTTAAAATTAACCCTTAGCATTCTAATCCATTTTCTCCATTTCAGTCTTTCATCATGAGGATGATCAAGATGAAGATGATGTCAGTTTACAGTTGTTGAGTGTTTACTACGCAAGACACTGTAATAAGTGCTTAAGAGGCCTGACTTCCTGTACTTCCTACAACAATCCTCTACTGATGCCCAACCTACAGATGAGGAAACTGAGATTTCTGTCAGCTCTACAGCTAGAACTAGAGTCTGGTGATTCATCACATTTTACTCTCAGATGTTTTTACAAAGGTGTTCATTATTAAGAAGCAGGAAAAAATCCATTAGCTCTAGAGCATAATTTGAGTTGCATTATTTTAGAGCATATAATTTGTCAATGCCTTATCACTATTTTCTAGTAAAATACAAACTTTTTAGTACGATGTATAAAGCTCTCCATGAGGTCCCTGCCCTGCCCTCGTCCTCACTTGAGCCTGGGATGCAGACGTACAGAAGCACTTGCTCCCAAGTCTGCCACATGGAATCACACAGTATCATACTTGTCTGTTTTATGTCAGCCTCTCCAATTGGTTGGCAAGTTGGGACAAGGGCTATTTTTTCCTCTTCTGTCTTTAAACTTAGGACTATACCTGATTACAGTGAAGTTTCAAAAATGTTGGTAAAATTAATTAATAATAACACACTTAGGGGTTTCCCTGGTGGCCAGTGGTTGAGAGTCCGCCTGCCGATGCAACGGACACATGTTCGTGCCCCGGTCGGGGAAGATTCCACATGCCACAGAGAAGCTAGGCCCGTGAGCCATGGCCTCTGAGCCTGCACGTCCAGGGCCTGTGCTCCGCAACGGTAGAGTCCACAACAGTGAGAGGCCCGCGTACCGCAAAAAATAAAAATAATAACACACTTAGATACATCTTATTCAAGACGGTGAAACTATTTTCACAGTGGTTAAACATTTTAAAAATATATATGAACATTTTAAATTTTAGTAAATTTGTTTATTTTTGTTATATGTAACGAATTCACAACATGTTATGCAAATATCGTCTCAATGCTTGAATCACTGCACATTTATCTTCTGCATATATAGTTTCACTTCTACTAATAACAACAGTATAAAGCTAAAAAGTTCTGTGAAATTATGAATTCTGAGTTCTTCAAAGCAATAGTTAGGCTTAGAAGCAATGGAGACCATTAGATAGGGCTCCAGTCCTATTATTTGTTACATGTTTAGACTTGAGTAAATCACTTTCTTTTTCTGGATTTCATTTTTTCTAATCTGTTAAATCTCCAAAATAATTTCGATCTCTACATCTCTATGATTCTCTTCTTGGAGATACAAGCAAGAAAGGACCCAGAAGAAGGCAGGACTACAAACACCGTTGCAGCGTTTTTCCCGAAAGAGATCCTGCCCACTGGAGAGATGGCTGGGAAGCTTGATGAAGCCACCATTCCAGCCAGCAAGAAGGACAAGTGTAGCAGGTCTTTACTTGGGGACCTGTATTTTGCATTAGGAAAATGTTCAAAAGGGGCCTTTGATTTTCCTATTGCTTATTTCCTATAATGTGCTGGACATTTCCTTTCCTTCTGTTAAAAATTCTTTTTCTACATCATGGTCAACTAGTTTGTAAAGTGAGAGTAGGCACCAAATGACTGTGCTCTTTGTAGAAAGGAGAAATTTCTAGATTTGGAGGCAGAAGCCGTGAGGTATGAAACCCAAAAAATTCATCAGAGCTCTTTTTGCAATGGGCATACTCAACACAAGAGGTATACTAGACATTTTAGGGAATAACAACGAATAACCAAATGTAATTAAAGCAGATTTTACAATTTTGCAAGTTAACTCAGCCTGAATTCTTTACTATTCAGTTTTGGTGGGGGTGGCAGGAAGAAATGGATTTAAAAGAAACGTCTCTACTGAATGACACTCTATGATCTGACCAGGAGAATCACACCTACATGTTTCTGAAAAAGTCAAACAAAAACTTTCACTGAGTGTGTAAAGTTTTGTATTAGTGATTTGTATGTTGTGATTTTATGTGGGATAAAAGAAATGTTTCCTGCCTTTAGGAAACTTTGAGCTGGTATGGATGGATTTTTGGAAGCAAAGTACTCTTTCACGTTGGGGAAAATAACCTGTGATCAAAATTCAAGTATTTTTTCCATGGACTGCATTCTTTCCAAAGAGTATCATAGACTAAATGAGCTTACAATACTCCAGCAACTTCTAAAGCTCACATTGTTTTGAAAGGAAACTTGTAAAAGGCTAAACTTTAGGCTCTTAAAAATCATTACTGTTTATTTTGTTACACCATGATTGTCCGTTTAGTCGGTCTTTAAAACTTCTGTGAAGCCTAACTCAGATTCTCCCTAGATTCCTTCTCAATTTTACCTAGTGGATCAGTGTAGATTGTTAGAATTTTAAAATAAGCTATAAATGAAAATTCAAAGCAGTGTTCTAGAAAAAAGAATTCGAAAATCAGTCACAGAAACCTTCCTTTCTAGGTTGTTCAAGTCTGATGGTTTTCCATGCACCAAAATGCTCCTTCATGAATCTCCCTCCTTTGGGGGAGGGGCACAAATAACAATGTATGTCATATCATCACTGTCATCATGTGGTTAACATTTATTCACTATATGTCAAGCATCTCATTAATCCAAGTCTCATTTAATTCAAATGAGCAGATATTATAATCACCCCCTTTTTACAGATGAGCAAACTGAGGGACAGAGGGGTTTAAGAAACTTTCCTTAGGTTACAATGGCAAATGGAATAGCTGGGATTCCAACTGCAGCGGATTCTTAACCACTGCACCACACTACCTCCCTTGAGGGCGTCCCAGTTTTCTCTCTTTGGAGCCCCCTGGTTTGGAGGTAAGGGAGGTGTCCCGACTTCTGCACCCTTCTCTTGGAGAAATAGTACAACGTTTCTTTGGGAATGGAATTGGTGTAGTTTTCCTGAGGACTGGTGGGCTGAGGCCGTCTGTTGCAGCCCTTTGTTTTTCCGATATACTCCCAGAGAAATGCATTAAGTCCTTGCTTGCTCCCTTCTGTCTCAGTTTGGCTTCAGGGCTGGTTTTTGGTGCCACGGATGTAATTTCACTTAGGTGAATTTATAGACACAATGTGTTTGGTCATGGAGGATAATGGGCATTCCTTTGGAGAAACTTTATGAAAAAGTTCTGACCTTTCTTTTTTTTTTCATTTGCAAAGGCAGCATTTCCCAACTTGTAATATCATCATTGCCCAAATAACCTTCACTAGAGGCTGTGTCATTTGCGGCCTAAACTTGCATGAAATCCCTTTCTTTAAAAAGTCAGGAGAAAAAGAAGCATGTGAAAAAATATATTTGTTTAGTGCCTACCTTTTAGAAAGAATATTTGACTTTTGCATTCATGAAGGAAGTTGAGGGGATCCAGTGGGCTATTCTGAGTATATTAACATAAAGACTTCCAGTGAGTTTATTAAGGGAAAACCTATCATCACTTGATGTGGAATATTTGATTGCGTATGTATTATCACTTATTTTCCATTATCTCATTTTAGGGTTTATCAAGATTTGTAACAGTATTCTTTTTCAGCCTACCACAATGAATTTACATTTTAATAGAACACTTCTTGAGTGGGTTCTTTGTGATGTGTCTTGAGGATTTCGTTTCAATCATGTGGGCAGAGTAGGCAAAATTCACTTTCTTCCTTTACTGAGTCATTTAAAAAAAACCATTGCACAAGACACGTGGTCTATTTAAACACTGGGGGCCGGATTCTATGATAGGCATTACCTAAGAAAGAGAACTGAAGAAACTTTTTGATTCCAGTTTCTTTCTTGACTTGACTTGGTTAGGGAGAGTAGTATTGGAAGATATAATACTGGAATGGGTTTAGTGGATTCAATACTTTCCAAAGTAAATTACTGGTTAGAAAATGAATTCTTAAAACATTATCTACTGGAACACAGGTTTGATTACATTTTATACTATAATCCTCCATTTTCTGAAATCCTGTAAGACATCTCTGTGTCAGCTATGATTTATAATATTAATGACATTTCTGACAATATACACATACAATCAGAAAAGCACTAAAAAAAGAAAAAGAAAAAAGAGGAGTTCCCTGGTGGTCTAGTGGTTAGGATTTGGCACTTTCACTGCCGGGGCCCGGGTTTAATCCCTGGTTGGGGAACTAAGATCCTGCAAGCCGCACGGCCAAAAAGAAAGAAAAAGAAAAAAAAGAAAAGCACTGTGGAATAAAAAGTATAACTGAATCATTTATAAACCACACACTATTTCACATGCCTCATGACTTCATTAATTGTGTGCAAACATGCACGCACACACACACACACACACACACACACATTCCTTAT